TTTCAGAAAAATATAATCTTAACATATTCTTTCTTACATTTTATAAAAACGTTAAAAATCATAGACAAGTTTATTAAATTTCAGAAAAATATAATCTTAACATATTTCCTTCTAAATTTATACGGAAAAATTTTACAAAAAAAAAAATACAGAAAATTTTTATGAAAGTTAATTTTTCTTCACATTTTTTCTTTAGAATTATGTCTTTAATAAACTTGTCTATGATTGTTCACGTTTTTATAAAATTATGAATAAACATTTCAGAAAGAATATAGTAAGATTCATTATTTTTCTGAAATTTAATAAACCCTTTTTATGCGATTTTCGGTACATTGTAACTCATTGATTTAGTTTTATGCGGTTTTAAAAAATTATGGAACGTATCCTTTATTTTTATACGTGTGTCTAGTCCTTTTTTGTGCGATTTATTTTTATGCGTTTTCCTGTGGAACGTATCTACCGTATAAAAAGAGAACCAAGAGTATATGCATTTTTCGTAACAAATAAAACTAGTACTATAAAAAATAAGTATATTTCATTAATATAAAAAAGATTACTACTTGCAGAAATGCAATAAAATAATTGTGATTAATACACATAGTGGATACAAAGAAAGAACATGTACAATGATAAAGCGTAAAGCGATAGATGAAGTAGAGCCAAAGCAAAGTTACAACAAAAAAGGTTACAATCAAAGCATGTTAAAATAATTAAACGTAATTTGTTAAACAAAATGTTATGACACCCAAACAGAGACGACCTTTGGTATCACGTATCAATTGAAATCATTGCAATGTTGTTATTAAGTTATCTAATTGTTTACCAAAATAACGGAGATTTAATTAATATCATCATAATATCATGTTAAATATTAAGAAATAAATTTATTAAAAAAGTTAACTAATTGTTGAAAATTCAAGTATACAGTGGAACCTCGCTTAACGAGCACTTTTTCCGGATCAATTTTCCACATAAAACCTAATGTAATATACGTCAAGCGTTCCATTTTTGAGTCATTTTTCTTACAATTTATTTTGCTCGTTAAGCGAGGTTCCACTGTATATAGAAGTTTTTTTTTTAAGTAAATTTATTTATGATTCAGTAATTTATCAATTCAAGTGTGGTAAATAAATAATAAACAAACAAGCTATGATTCATTCAGAGTACGTAATATTGAATGGAGAAAGTGCATGAAACGAACGAAAAAGCGAAAGCCTCGTCAAATGATTTGCATTGCCTTACTTTTAGCAATGATCGAATGATGCGGTTGCACTATTTTAAGACACGTACCTGAACAGACCAAAAGTACTCAAAGTCAGTGCGGAATGCTGTTTGGGTGCACGGCTAAAAAAAGTATTAAAAACAAAAAGAGAATATGCTATAACTAGCGCGCAAAACTACCCTGGATGTAATCTAAATTAATAACGAATAACTAAAAGGAGAAAAAAAAATAATGCGGACACATAAAGCGAATATACTACACATAGTAACCCTTATGGCAATACACTCTTACACTTACTTCAAGAAGTTATCGTTATCCTCGTTCATTTTCTGCGCGTCTTTCGCCTTGTACGAAATCAGCCTCTCCACAAGTTGTCTATTTTCATCCTAAAAGTACACATCAATAGTTTGATAACTGACAAATATCAATGCTTACAAGAGTTACCTGGACTTTTCTCAACTTATCCTCGAGCAAATTGAAAGCAAGCTGCAGTGCTTGATGTTCATCACGCAGCATCTGTGTGAGGTTTTCCATCTCTTTCATATTGCTTTCATGCATCCTTATCTCGACTTTTAGAACAGAATTTGATGAAAGTGCTTCCTCCAAACTAAACAAACAAAATAAATAAAAAAATAATAAATCGAATAATGCACAACCCACCTAGTTTCCTTTAACGCCAAGACTTTTTCCCTCTCCTGAAGCTTAACATTTAAGTCTATAATTTGTTGGGCATTCTCTCCTTTTCTCCGATGCAGCTCGGTTAGTTCCTCCTGCTGCACCAGAACCTTCTGCTCTAAAAATTGGATACGTTCGGTCAACTTAGAGTCCCCAGATGCATTCGAGATAGGTTGACTGCCGGTATCGGCTTTGAGTTTCTCATTCTGTATGGACAGCTGCAGATTCTCACTTCGCAAGGCATTGGCATTTTCAAATAACCTGTTATCTGTGATCGCATGAAAAAAGAAAAAAAACAACAACATTGTTAGAGCTGCAAGTAAAAAAGGATTTTCCAAGAAAATTACTCACTTTGCGTTATTATGTCATGGAAGTAACGGGTTTGATTCCTGTTCCTGTCCTGTATTTGTTCAATAATGCATTTCCTCCAATTTGTCTCCTCCAACTTTGCCATATTTATTTATTTATTTTCAAACTCACAACTGTCAGATGCTTTTGGCATAACCTCACTTGGATCTTTGATGCACTCGTGCACTGTTGGTGGTATAGGTGGAAATACCGTAGGCTTTGGAATTTATGTTAGACCTTTGGGAGGGGGGAAACACACAGAGGGGGGAAATATACAAAGACACTTATTAATTAGTTTAATTAATAAAATTAGCAAGTTTCCTTTGACTTTGAATGCACACGCATTTATTTGTTACAATTTGTTTAAAACGACAATTATTAAACTCTCTCCGAATCGGAATGATAAGATTATTTTTTTTTCCGTATATTTTTCTGGTTTTATTTAGTAAATTCTTATCTGTGTGAGATTATTCATGTTCGTCTCTGATGCACAATAAATTATACTGAATTTTAAGAAATTTACATAACAAATTAAGTAAACAATTACAATTGATTACTTTTCATACAGAAACTTTTAAAACTGTTTCAATTACAAATAAAATAATTTTAAACTAACAAATACTTTGTTCTTTTTAATACACGTGTTTCTCATAGATTGATTTGTTGTTTATAACAGTAATTTATGATACATTTGTTAACATTAACATGTTAATTTTAATGAGAATTTAGTATTTTGAAGTTAACTTGAGTCAATGAAACATTAGTTTTATCTCATTGTCTTGGCCATTTTATTATCATCTTTTGTATAACTAATATACAAACGCATACTTGTACGTGATTATTTAGAATAACTTGTGGAATATTCCAAAGGACGGTTACATATTAAATCGTATATTTGCGTCTATTGTATCACCACCTAACAGCTTTCTGCAGCCCCTAAATATTTGGGTAGGATCATAAAACTTAGATAAAGAAATGGTTGTATTTTCCACAAGCTCAAAACTGATTTCCTTACCTCCCACACAGCCCCTTTTTGAAATGAACACATTTTTGCATTATATAATTTAGTCTTAGTCAGGGGACCGAAAAGAGAGGAAGTCTTAATTAAGGGGCCGAACTGAGAAGTTGGTCTTATTTCGAGAGTCCAAGGAAGAGCACTAATACTAACTTAAGAGGAGAATGTAACTCTTAGTAATAATCCCTGATATTAACTATTGTATAGTTGACTTCTCAATAAAACTCTGATATCTATTAATCCGTTTCTATTAATTAAGAATATTGCATTTAATATTCATAAACCCCTCTAAGACTCCACAACTATGAGATAATCCACGGTGTCCAAGGATTTCTTAATCCCGGGACACGACATCATAATTATAAATATATGTTCTTAATCACTATGAATATCTTCTTCAATTTATATAATTGTTAGTAAACAAAAAAATAAACTTTTAAAGCAATAATTACATGGAATAATTTAATTCTACATTTGTTATTCATAAATTTAATTGTGTTGTAAAATAAGAACATATTGTGTTTAAAAATAAGGTTAAAGAAGACGCAGGTTTCGAGGAGTAGAACATTTTTTTAAATTTTTGTAAAAACTTGTTTTTTTTTCATCTATTTTCAGTTTAGTTGATTATAGTATAAATTCACTATTTCAATTATTTACATATCAATTACAAAATATGAGTGAAGAGAAGTAATGAGTACAAAAAATATGATTCAATAGAAATATTAATGTTAAAATCGTGCAGAAAAAATCAATACGCTGCAAAAGTAATGAACGTAAAAGTAGAAAACAGGTATTTGGTTTTAAGAGGTCTCATTGGAAAATGAGCGATAAACGGTAAATTACTGTGGAAATTCTTTCGTGAAAATGACTGCTTTTTATATATGTTGGAAAATGAATATTATATGCAAAAAGAGAATACGAGTGAATTATCAGAGCGTTTCCATTAGACGTTAATAAATGGAAATGGGAAAAAAAAAGAGAGAGACGCAAAAGGAAACGAAAATGAGTAGAGCGAAATACTCGGTAAGGAAAGAAGAAAATAAATGAAAATGAGTTATTAAGTAGGAATTGGAAAATCCGTAGATTGTGGAAATTTGAACTGGATTATCGTAAAATGTAGATCAAGGGTAATTTTCATTTGATTTCAGAAGTTGGGATACAAAAATTATGTGGGAATTCTATGGAATCAATATTTATTATATAATTTTGTGTGTTTTTGTTTAAATACAGTGGAACCTCGCTTAACGACGAAAAATGACTCGCTTAACGAGTTACGTTTCGCATAACGAATGACGATGTGTTGTGTCCAACTACTAAAGTTTGAGGAACCAGTCTCTTCAGAGGCATGGGTTCGAATCCCACCGCTGGCAACAAAAATATGTCGTGTCCCATGGATGGTTTTCTGGACACTGTGGGATATCTTCTTTTGTTGTCGTTGTGGAGTCTCAGTTGTTGGGAATTTAATGAACTTCGTTTGGTTTTACATAATTTTATTTGTTATTCTTATAAGACTATGTTCATATTTAATCATCTGCAGTTTGGTTTCTAGTTGAAAATCCGAAGAAACACCGCAAACGGTCACTGTCTTCCGTGGGATTTGTCTATTCTGCATTTTGGTATCTAGTCAAAAATACGAAGAAACGCGTTAAAACGGTCACTGTCCTCAGTGGGATTTGTCTATTCTGCATATTGATTCTGTTAATGACCTATAATAGTCCACAGTGGTAAACAAATTTTAGTGGTTGGACACAAAAGATGAGAAGAGAAGTCCCGGATACACATATTATCGAATATGTTTCATTATACGAGTAAAGGATTAAACTCGTTAAGTGAGGTTCCACTGTATATGGATTATACAAGATCAAGAGTGAGAAGACTTAGGTCGATATACTTTTGGACCAAATTAGGGTATGTAAACAATTAAGTTCAAAGAATAGTTTTCTTGTGTTGTTTGTAAAGGATGTATTAGTAGTACAAATTGAAAACGAAGCATTTAATATAGATATCAGTGTTTGTTTGTGCATCATTATTGTCTTTTTTTTTGTGTTTGTGCAGAATTGTCCCGGTTATTACGGTCGACTTGATGAATGCATTTCACGCACCATATAACCGGAAACACCCTCCACCTCGTGCACATGCGACTCTGGCGGATATAAAAAGATAATAACAAGCCATTAGTACCTCCAGTACCATTGCAAATCCCCGATCAGCAATGCACATAGAACAAACATCGTCCTCGCGAAGCACACAAAGATATTGAGAAGCGTTACAACAAAAAGAATTGCATTTCAAAATGCGCTTTATTTTCCATGGGGTTGCTTTGCTGCTGTTGGTGATAACCTGTAGGGGTGGTCCGTTCGAAGAGATCTGCACGGTTGCTAAGTTAGTGGTGCAAAAGTGTTGGATGAGAGCTCAAGAGGAGGACCGTCAGAACGCGGTTGCTGGTGTCGAGAAGTGCTTGAAGAGGAAGACGCTCATCGCTATGGATAGGATCATCGCCAAGGAAACCATACAGATGCCATACGGGATTACGCTTGTCAGAGATGAAGGAAGGAATAGAAGCAGTTATGATAGAAGATCGGAGAGGAAGAACGGAAAATTCTACGAGATGGGAGATTGGAAAATGCAGCTGATTGGGAAGATCGGAGAGGTTCTGCGTACGCACGTCTTCCGGTTTCCTCTCATGAAAGCGAATGTTGTAACAGGTAACATTGATTCCTAAATTGATGTCAATAACAATTAGTAGATCACTTAATTCGCAATTAGCGATATTGACGTGAATAGGAAAATTAATTGATTTTGGTCGACATACATGTGCATGATTAATTGATAATAGTTCAAATTACATTTGATTCAATATAAATAATAAAGTCCAATTAAAAGTTTGAAACTTAAACTAAAAAAACATTGAAAATATACAAAGAAACTATGGATTTCTGCAAATTTATGTAATTAATACGATAATTAAATTCTATAACGAATCTTTATAGAAATTTCAAGTTTATCTTGTAGATGTGTGAAGTTTCGTATCATAAATTTTCCAAAAAGTGTCCAGTGGGAATTTCCGTTGAAATGGATTCTTCATTAACTTGGTTACCTTATTATGTACAATAATTCACGCTGCAGCGCATTAATTGTTAACTGCAATACTCACGTAGGATGAATCGATAAATTTCGGTCCATTATAATTAGTACTAGCAATAATTAATGCAAAATTAATTTTGATTGGGACTAATTGAATATAATGATTATTACAACATGCAACAACATTAATAAGATTATTGTATACAATTAGATTATACAGGAATTTCAATTTGTGATCAATTAATTAGTTGCAATTAGGATGTAGGCTTTGTTTTATAACTTGTTATTTTATGTTTACATGTAATAGTATAATTGTTTTTATCCTGTAATTAATAAGTAATTAAATTGTATATAAAATTATGAAATCTCTAATTTTTGATTAGTTTATAACAAAAATCAATATTTTAATTATCTGATTTGTTGAACCGTAAAGACAATTATGAAATGTATTAAATAATATGCAATTATAACTGTAAAATTGTTACAGTTCAAGACTGTATAATAGCAGTATTATGTAAGTTTAAATTATATGCAAAATGCGAAGTTGAACCGGAAGTTTCAAATTACATTTATTAACTATGCAAATTTTCTAATTACTATTTGGTTTGCGAGAATTGTTGCATTAAGATATAAAGTGCATTAAAACTTGCAATGAACCTGAACAAAAAAAAAAACAGTTTAACTTTTTGCATATCTAAAATATCAATTAATTTATGTAATTAATAAACGTTATATTTTGTGAAAAGTGGCCAAAGAAATTGACTATAATTTTGTTACTTTGCAATTCCTTTAATCGTTTGAATTGGGAAATAATTTTAAGTTTATATTTTGTAATAATGTTGATGTGTGATGTAATAGGTAGGAGAAGACATCATCATCATCAAAGCCAAGGGATGATGCCTCTGATGATGTTCGGTGTAATGGCGATGGCGATCATAGCAATCCCTCTCGGTTTCCAATTCTTAGCTGTCCTCGGTGGTAAAGCCTTGCTCTTGGCCAAGCTGGCATTGATACTCACTTCGATTCAAGGCCTCAAGAAAATCGCGGTCAGCGACGTGAACTACGGTTTCTACGAAAGTGGATCTAATCACCATCATCATCCTCACCACTCGAGGCAGCAATGTGAGTTCGCATTTCCATTGCTTTTCCAATTTCTTATTTTTTTTTTGTTGATTAATTGGAATCCGGAAACGGATTTACTTTCATCGCGTGAATAATAATTAAATATCGGATTTCAGATCTGTACGACAGGAGGTGGCAACAGAACGGGGCTCCAGGTCACCATGGATACGACCAAGGCTTCCCCGATGTCCCCGATCAACAACCGGACTCCATATACCACATAAGACCGAGGATATCGAATCACGTCCCCCCCGTCAATCGAGATTGAACTATTATATTATAACACACAACGATCATGCATGCTATCTCCATTTGTTTCCCCACAAAAAAAAAAATTAATTTATTTGCATAAGTCTTTATATTCTATTTATTAATAAATTTAGTTACACGTTTTACGTAAAACCGCCTGATTAACGTCATTCTCTGTTCCTAAGCAACGCGTGTTTCGGATGCAGCGCAAACAATTGAACCGAGCAAATAACTCTTGACCATTGTTGAAGGATTAATTAGCTTTGCAACCCCGAGGCGGATAATTTAATTAGGGGATGTTTTTTTCTATTTGTTTCTTTCGCTCAAGTTCAAGAGTGCTTTGCTTCAAGCTGTAGTTTTGTGTGTGTGTATATAGCTTTTTTTTTGCGATCGCTTTATCTCGAACGTGGGGGAAGAATAAAGAAGCGGTGAGAGGCTCGAAATGCAAAGAATGGTATAGAGTAAAGATTTGCTTATTACTAGGTTAACAGAGATAAGAGGCCAGTGGCTTGATAAATAAGCGGCGGCAGGATTCGTTGTGCGCAGTATTTTACGGTGGACAAAAAAATAATAAAATAGTCCTAGAGCCATGGACGCGGTGCAGCATCCGAATCCTAGACTACATTTGGGATCGAATCAGGTCCACTGATAAATACGATCAATCAAAGTTTGACATTCATTTATTACATCAGGTGAGAGACAAATATTATTACTTAACGTTCAAAACAATGGCATGTTTACTTCGGTAAGTATGATTAAATATTACAAAATAAACTATTTTTTTTTGTCTGTTGTTTATAATTCAGTTTAATCAGGTTACAACGTATAACATTTCAACATTTAATAGGTTCATATTTGAATTATCTTGATTTATATTATACATATTCTTTACATTATGTAACAAAAATCTATTAATTAATTGTTAAACAAAGAATGGACAAGAAATTATGATGATTTCTTTCTTTATTCAAATTATCCAATAATGTTGATACAACATTCAATAAAAAAATTTCTTACATAATAAAACGTGTAATTATTATTGATCTTTTGATTCTATAACAAATAGTTTCTATTAACAATTAGTTACAAATACTTTGTGTAATTAAAAATCAAGAAACAACAGTGGTTTACATGTTTGAATTTTACATAGTATTCATACTTAAGCCTAAGCTCTTTCGGCGTGCAGTTTAAGGGTTAGATTTGATAAGTATATACAAAAAAAATGTTTTACATTATAGGAAATAAGCAATTTCTAGAATAAAAACAGAACATTCTTGAAATCAGGAAGAGATTTAGAATATGAATGGAAATTTTAGAGAACACATTTAGACAAGTACACATTTAGAAAACATTAAGATTATACATTTTATAGACACTAAGAAATAGAAATAAGAAAGAAATTGGAATATCACAGAAAGAATGGGCTAAAAACATATGTTTCCTTAATATTAATTAAATTTGAATACCCTGTAATGTAGATTTGTTTTTTTTTGTCTTCTTATTGTTCTCATTACTTTACCACAAAGCATCATTAACTTTATTAACGTCTATAGCAAGTACAAGGCATCCTTAGTAATAGCGACAATAACCATATCAACCAAAAAGCGTCTTTAGTGTTAGTCAATGTAGCAACCACAATACATCCTTACTACCAGAGACAGTAACCATAGCAACCAAAAAATTGAGATATATTTATATAATTTATAATTGGCGACAAACGTGGGGCAACTTTTTCTCAAGGTTAATTAAATTTTGCAAAAAAAATATAATAAAACTTTATATGTTTTAAAAATTAAGAAACATATGTTTCCTTAATATTAATTAAATTTGAATACGCTGTAATGTAGATTTGTTTTTTTTTGTCTTCTTATTGTTCTCATTACTTTACCACAAAGCATCATTAATTTTATTAACGTCTATAGCAATTACAAGACGTCCTAAGTTACATGGGTAGAACAGCAAAAACACAAGGCGTCCTTATTAATAGCAACAATAACCATATCAACCAAAAAGCGTCTTTAGTGTTAGCCAATGTAGCAACCACAATACATCCTTACTACCAGAGACAGTAACCATAGCAACCAAAAATTTGAGATATATTTATATAATTTATAATTGGCGACTAACGCGGGGCAACTTTTTCTCAAGGTTAATTAAATTTTGCAAAAAAATTATAATAAAACTTTATATGTTTTAAAAATTAAGAAACATATGTTTCTTTAATATTAATTAAATTTGAATACGCTGTAATGTAGATTTGTTTTTTTTGTCTTCTTATTGTTCTCATTACTTTACTACAAAGCATCATTAATTTTATTAACGTCTATAGCAATTACAAGACGTCCTTAGTTACATGTGTAGAACAGCAAAAACACAAGGCATCCTTATTAATAGCAACAATAACCATATCAACCAAAAAGCGTCTTTAGTGTTAGCGTCTGTAGCAACCACAATACATCCTTGACCTCTTTACTACCAGAGACAGTAATCATAGCAACCACAAAGCATCATTAGTAACTTTATTAACGTTTATAGCAATTACAAGGCATCCTTAGATACATGGGTAGAACAGCAAAAACACAAGGCGTCCTTAGTAATAGCGACAATAACCATATCAACCAAAAAGCGTCTTTAGTGTTAACCAATGTATCAACCACAATACATACTTACTACCAGAGACAGTAACCATAGCAACCAAATTTGAGATATATTTATATAATTTATAATTGGCGACTAACGTGGGGCAACTTTTTCTCAAGGTTAATTAAATTTTGCAAAAAAATTATAATAAAACTTTATATGTTTTAAAAATCAAGAAACATGTGTTTCCTTAATATTAATTAATTTTGAATACGCTGTAATGTAGATTCGTTTTTTTTTTGTCTTCTCTTTGTTCTCATCACTTTTTTGTGGCTCACGAAATCTAATTTATGAGCAATAAATTAACGGATATTAAAGTACGACAATGAATAGGAGAAACAAAAACCTGCTGCATTCGTCGTTTCGATTTCAATCCTTTTGCTCTTTGTGCTTCTACAGTTGGTGATGAAAGTTCGGGTGAATTGAAAGAGGAAAAATAAAATTAAAAATATTTTAATAAAGAGGAATGAAAAAATATATCCTAAAGTATTCAATACTTACATTTATTTCCATCCTACTGTGATCCTTTTAGTATGGAAAAAATATGCAAACAATAGGGATTTTATGGATAAAATGTTGGGAACGTCGAGATTTTTTCCATTATAAAACGACAAAAGAGATTAAAAGAGATTGAAGAAAAAAATGTATTCTTTATATTTGATTGTTTCAAAATCAATTAGCTTGTATTAATTTTTCATATTTTTACAGTTATTACAGTTTAAAATTTTCGACTACAAATTTTACACATTTTATTAGTTTCTTATTTTCTATGATCTCATGATTTAGGTCTAAACGTGTTACTTCTGTAATTTGTTGTTTTCATTCGATATTTTAAAGTTTCAAAATACAATGAATTTTTAAGTTATTTTTATTATAATAATCTTTTAATCAAAATCAAATTTTTGTCAAAACATTTTTAAAATTAAAGTTAACAGGAGAATCTTTGTATTTTTCAATCAGATTTCGTATGAATTATTTTATCGTTTCTTTAAAATGCTTGGGAAAAATGCGTTTTCAGTAAAAATATATTTAGACCATGAAAAACCCTTTCATCCTTCTCTTTATATTTCGTTTACTATGATCCAAGCAATTTCTTTTGAAATATCTATAAATCGCCTTACCTTTTATTAGAAACATCCTCATTTCTATGAAAAATAAACTGTACTTTTTTTTTCTCAAAAAACAATTTCTTATATAATTTATCGTTTCAATATTTAGCAAAATTTACATGAAATTTTCACCATTCTGTGTTTGACACTTGTATTTCGGCTTAGAAATTTGATTAATGAGAGTAAATCCAAAGTCGTCAAGAAGATATTCAAATTCTTTATGAAGAATGTTCATCCGGTATGTTGAATAAGACATCAACTTTCAAGAGAGTTGCGAACTTAATGAAAACGCCAGAATTAATAAGTGTCGCGAAAAACAAGGAATAACGCGAAAAAATGGTTGGAGCGGAGTGGAATTTATTATAATTATATCCGGGGACATTACTCCACGAAACTTTTATGGAATTTTAAAATAGAATGCTAATTCCGCGGAATCCATTTGAATAAATTCAGCTATTTTTACACTGAACGAGGATGCACTTGCACATGAAAGAAATAAGAGAAAAAAAAGGACAAAGTTTAGAAAGTGTGGGCGGAAAAGGACGATCGTAAATTAATATTTAAAAGCCATTAGCAGTGTCGGATCTATTTCGGAAAAGTGCAATTTCAACCTTTTAGATGTAAAATCCCAGAAAGCTTTCCATTTTTGATTGTCTTCGGAATTTGCGGATCATCGTTTCACCTTGTGATCCTTTTCTGACAGACACAAGAAGCTCACGTTCCTTCCTGATCCTGATTGTTACTCGATATCTATTGATTCCTTGGATTCTCCTTTTTAAATGTTTCGTGTGTTTGTGAAATGTTAGTCGACGGATTGATTAAAGTTTCGAGTTTTTGTCTTCGCGTTCCGCATCATCGCGTCCGTTGCGAGAAATTTTCTTCCGGGTAATTTTGCCTTAATCTTTCGCCATTCATTTTACGCTTCTATCTTCGTGGACGGACGAGAATTGTTCCGTGGGACGAGAAAAATACCTTGCGTTTCTATAGTTTTTTTTTCACTTTGTTCATCCTCTTTACTTTATTCCACCCCCGCATGTTATCCCAGCTTCTGTTGCGGTTGCTGGATATAAATTGGTTTCGGAGGTAATTGTAATGGATAAGTTGTGGTAGGAACGCTACATTAAGTTCAACACACCACAACTAAAATTTTAATTTAATATACTAAATTTTACAACGTTGTTCATTTCAGTTGATCCAAATAAATATATTTTCAGTTTTATTATTAATTATACAAAACAAAATTTTTATAATAAATTAATGATAACTTTATTATAACAGTAAAAACATTAATAGCACCGCATCCTTAATAACAGGGGAAG